TATATATATATATATATATGAAAAATATATGGGAGAAATAAAACATAAAACATTGTTACCAATTAATATTAAAAAAAATGTGTGTCCCTGCTTTGGGGTTCTGTCTCAGAGAAAGTCAATATTCCCATATGCTACTATTGGGTTCCTTTGCTTTAAAGGTTGCCCCATTTTGACTTGGAATTTAAAGGGGGTAAAGTGGGGAGAATGAAGGTGCTTACTTACCTTGTAGTATCTAACTATGCTCTCCCACCACTTCTCTAGAATAATATATCATACCAGGCTAGGAAAAACTGCTCCAGATGGAGCCTGGTGATCTTATTTGAGAAGGTCATTCTCAGAGCCATCACTAGGATAAAGGAAGTAAACAACATCAGCTTATACATGTGATTCTGTATTGCATGCTTTGGACTTGGATTCTATCACTAAGAGATCCCTTCTCTGAAACAGTTGGGGTAACACACAGATGGTTGACCCAAAACCCCCACAAAGTAAGAATGCTGAACAAGTAGATGGTCAGCACTGCTATCCTGTTTTTTAAGCTTTCTCTGTGCTTTGGGTAGTGTGTTCTCCAGAGTGAGGGCATGGAGGTTACGCATCGAGCCTGACAAGAGCCACTCTTGGTGCTGCTATAGGACTATATTGCTCTTCCCAAACCACAAAGGTTGTTTCTGTATAACCTTGTGATCACAGAATTGAAAGTTAAGGTGCTTAATGGTGGAAAATGGGTTTGGGAGATGAAGGTTGGAGATGAGCTCATGAAAGCCCTATAAATATTTTTATGATCCTTAAATTATTCCACTAAATAAAGAGAATAACAGTGAATACTGTACAATTTCCATTCTATTGGGTTAGAAATTTTCAGACATTTTCCTGATTCAAAATTTGAACTAGATGTTTTTTAATTCGTTTTATAATTTTTAATTAATTAACTAATTATTTTAGAAACAGGGTCCCACTCTGTCACCTGGGCTGGAATGCAGTCATGCGACCACAGCTCACTGCAGCCTCAAACCACTCCACTCAGGCAGTCCTCTTGTCTCAGCCTCCTAAGTAGCTGGGACCACAAGGACATGCCATCATGCTGGCAAATTTTTTAAAAAAATTTTAGGCCTAGCACAGTAGCTCATGCCTGTATTTTCAGCACTTTGGGAGGCCAAGGTATGCAGATCACCTGAGCCCAG